ATGCACGCGGCTTAAGTCTGAAGCTTAGAACCCAGAACAGAATCCACTTGCCAGAATATGTATTTCCATTGTGACAATGATCCTCCTATATGCTACCGATGGGGGGGTAGGCAGGCAATAAATTTATTATCTCTCTCTTGTTCAGCAATTATCACCACATAGGCTGGTTCTTTTACTCAATCACAACTAGGCATCTCTTTCCGTCTCAGAGAGCTTTAATGAGCTCGTTATAGGATCTGCATTCCGATTCCGACTGGGGGGCGAAAATATAGAAACTAAGAGTTGATGCCACTCAATCTCTATCTTTAAATCTCTATATATTATTTTTCTCTGGAAAATATCTCTTGTCTTTATTTCCCTTTAAGTTATCCTAATCTTTCTGTCCCCCTCTTTCGCGTAAAAGGAGTGTGCGTGTGGTAGTGGCGACTGCGTTCCCAAAAATGTGACCCATGAAAAGTCCTTAAGATAAACTTTTTTCAATTAATTTTTGTGTGCTGCCAACGACATTTCATTGTGTCGTACACACACAAACGAACAAGCGCACGCATATGTACATATTTATGTGGCCGCCACAACAACAGGAGCTGCAGCCAAACACAAGAGGGAGGGAGAGATAGAGAGAGAGAGAGAGAGATCTTTTATGTGTTTTCACGTATTTTCTTTAACGGATTTCCACTTGTCTCACTTTTTGAGGAGAAAACTTGTCGTAGATCCTGCCACACGCATTGTCAAGCGCACTCACACAGCCAGACACAGACGCAGACAATGAACAGAGACATACAGATTTATAAAGATAACCAGAGGGGAAGAGAGAGAGAGAAAGTAATATGGGGAAAATGGGTGGGTGGGGGATGGCATAGTAGCAACAGCGCGAAAAAATTTGCCCTGAAGGCAGGGTTTTTATTTCTTTGCGTTTTAACGATCAACACTAGGACTATCCTGTAATACATACATTTGAGATAATACTATAAATAATAAAATGTAGACAAAAGAATACTAAACTTTTGAGGAATGAATAAATAAATATCCAGAAAAATGGGGGTAAAAGATGCACTCAGTTTCCATACTCAGTTTATAGGTGAAGCATTTAAAAGAAAGCATTAAAAACATTTTCAAACAGGTGTTCAGAGTGCAAAAAAAAAACCACTTGTGTTCTGTTTATGTTGGCTAAAAAATTGATCCGGCAACAAGCTTTTAAATTCCAATATATACGATCATGCTTCATATTTTTGAGGCTTTCTTGGATTTTCTTATTTATGGCCCAAATATACCCCTGTACTCCTTGGAGTCCTGGGTATAAAAAGAATAAGAAGCAACCGAAATATTTATTAAGAACACACACACACACATACACATACGAGCACGGTGGAGGGATATGCATTTACCATGTTAAGTAATTCCTTAAACAAGACAACAGGTCGCCCGGTTGCTCCCCCCCCCCCCATTCCGGCCCTTGTCCCTATAAGACTCTTCTTCTCCTTCTTCGGGCTGTGTCTGACGCTGAGTGGCAGCCACAAACACACACGCACACACACGAACACTGCCACAAATTGAATTTAATGCTTTTTCTGCTGCAAACAAATCAAGGACACCGAGGACACAGCCAGGGAGGGGAGGAGGCGGCACAAATAAATACGCGAAAAAGTACATAAATTTAAATTATTTTTGCCTTTTTTCTTTTTTTTGGTTTCATTTTTGCTTTTCGTTTTATTATGCAGCCCAATGCCGCATGCCTCCTCAAAGCATTCGCTTTGTCAAGGCATTTGACTATGGCGAGACGCTTTGTGGCACACTTTTGGAACACACTGTAACTGTATCTCTCGTATCAGTATCTGCGGCAGCAACGGGGGCATCTTCAGCTGTCTCTTGGCGAACTATGCGGAAACACAGCAAACAAACACTACACACACACACAGATACACAGATACAGATACAGTTACAGATACAGATACACACTCTTATTCAGAGACAAGAGACGTCCTTGGGTCGCTGAGCGTAAGGCAACGTTAACTGGGATTTGACAGCTCGTAAATAATATTTCGCTTGTTTGTTGCCTGTGAAACGACATAAGAGAAAGAGCGAGAGCGTGAATGGTGGAGGGAGGGGGAGGGGGAGCAACGTCTTAAACAAGGCCAAAAACGGTGAAGACAGTGGGATAAAAAAGAGAAAAAAGAGAATGCAAATTGGTGGGAAGTGGATGAGAGACTGAAAACAAAAACCGAAAATGGAGAATGTTAAAGAATGATCATAGTAGCTACATAACAAGTGTCGTCTTAGCTCTTTGAAAAAATGGCTTTCATATTTTTTTAATTGATTTTAGAAGTCCCTTGGAAGTCGCACCCACTGTGACGCCTCATTCGACTGGCACCCATGTGAAAAGGAGAAACGCATTTTATTTTTAAGCTTTTTCTCCTGCTTTCTCCCGCTTTCTCCCGCTTTCTGCTGCTTTATCCTGCTATCTCCTTATTTTGCTGCTTGTTAAACAAAAATTTACATGACAATTGTATGTATGTATGTATGTATGTATGTGCGTGGGAGTAAAGAAAGAGGAGGAGAAGCAGCAGCAAAAGTCGCTGAAACTGTGGTGTAGTTGCTGTCTCCTCCAACTCCCTGACCTTACACAGATTTTTTGGCACTCTCATTATACGGATATCTCCAATGGAAAGCGACTTCTCCCCTGCCACATATACACATCCTTCATCCTGTTCTGCTGTTGCTGTTGCTGCTACTGCTTCTGCTCCCCCCCTCAGTGCCTATTAAATTTTCATAAGGCGCTTCTCAGAGCCACTCGTACAAATGGCACTCGCTTTGGTCGCTTTTAAGCGGAAAGTGGATTAAAATTAAAGCACTGCCAAAATACATACTTCAAAGGATATTCCGGCCTGGGCTGTAATTAAAGCCAGAAACGAAATGAAATGAATGGCATGTAAACTGTCCCACAATTCGATTGCCAAAAAGTGAATTAAAATCCGGAACTTGGACCCGAAATACAGGAAGCAGTGGATGGAGCAGAATGCTATAGAGAGGCAGAGCAGAAGAGTGGAAAACCGCAGAGGCCAGAAGAAGCAGAATATAGGAGTAGGAGACAGGTGGTAAGAGGTAGGAGGTGGCAGGTGGCAGAAGACAGAAGCCAGAAGGTAGAAGCAATTCGGGGGCACCCGCAGAACGCGCTCAACTGGAAGAAGATGATGGCGCTGACGAGAAAGAAGGATGAACCCTCCCCACAACGACGACGCTGAATGGGAGATAGCGCCACGAAGGTCGCTTCAAACACACACACACATATGGAAAGGTATAGAGCTATAGACATTCCGTAGTGTGTGTGTGTGGGCGTGGCCCCCTGTGGCAGTACTGTGAAATTTGAAGCAGATTGTGTGTGGCGTGGCGCCTACATCGTGCAATGTAAACCAGAAAACGTAGCCGATAAAAATAATACGAGAAGGCAATTTCGATTTATTGACAGGTGCTCGACTTTATTGAAACGTTTAACGTTTGAAAAACCCCACAAACGAAAGCAAAAAGGAGGCGAGAGGAGACTTTGAATTTGTCCCCTTGAATGTGCAGATGTGTGTGTGGAGTGTGTTTGTGTGTCTATGGAAAATGTGTGCAAAACGATAAAAATTATGTGAATTTCGTTTTGATTTATCGTTTGAAAATAAAGTAAATGATGGAAGGAAAGGGAATGGAGGTGTACTAAGATACCCTGTAGCTCGTTTTTCTCGCATTAAATAGTGCTCTAAGGCCAGGTGTTTAAGCAGCCAGACTTCCAACTTGTTTTCGATGCTTTCCGGAGATTTATGAGCTAGAAATTGCAACCCGTATATTGGTCTCAATTTAATTACAATTTCCATTGAGCGAATGAGCAGGGTCAGATGTGGGATCTACTTCGTCTAAGGACACGCACTATTTGGTCATGCCAATGTGCATTTAATTTTGTTCTAGGCCTCACGTACATCCATCAATGCTTTTGGGGCATTATTTAATAATGAAAATTGAATAGTCCTCTAATTCAACCTGATGACAAAGTGGATCCCAAGCAGCAGCTAGCAGGCAGCAGACAGCAGCCAGCAGCCAGCAGGTGCCTCACATATGCGACACGTGCCGCACGGACACACATGGGGGTGGGATGGGCTGATTCGGGGAAAGGGGCAGGTCGGTCACCCTCCACTCAATTGTGGTTTTCCGTTTCCGCATAATTTTTGCAGAGCGGAAGACTGCTGAGAAGAAGCCGCGTCGCTAACAAAACATTTGTTAAAACGGAAGGAAGGAAGGACAAACGACAAAACGCAGGTCACAAAGGCACACAAAGATAGAGAGAGAGCGAAAGCGATGAACGGTTTGTCCATACGCACACACAGGTAGCCTTCCACGAAGGGGCAGGCAGTTACAGATACAGATACACACTCTACTATGAGCGCACCTCTTAAGCTAACATAATTTGGTGGCCCGAAACTCAAATTCCAAGGCAAAGACCAGGCCAATGCGGGCACGTCCGCAGCCACCAAGTTCCACTTCATTTTCAGGAAAGACACGAGGCAGCAGGAGCAAGCAGCAGCAGACGGAAGAAGAAGGGCAGTCAGTGGCACACGGCAGTTGGTGGGTGGGGGAAAAAAGGTTGCATGTGATTTGTGTCAGCGGAGATGGAGGAGCAGTCTCTCTCTCAGCGCAGCTTGCGCTGCTCCCGGACTATATATTATCCCACCAGGCGACAGTTACAACAATAAAACATTTCGGATGTCGCTTGTCCTGCCGCTGATCCTTGGAGCCTGAGGTCCTGCCACAGGACGCACCTGACTACCGACTAAAGGGCTGGCTGTAATGAACGATGCCTGGAGGCATTTTCTTGTTATTTTTTCATGGCATTATCCTTGTAGTTAATGTGGGTGAGTGGGGGTGGAGAGGACACGCACTTCCCCTTCCTGTGAAAGGCACGACCTTTCCCCCAAAGGAACTGTGGAGCAAAGTCTCCGATATATTGGAGTGAAATAAGTAGGCTTTCTCGAATAAGTTTCACTCTGAAAGGGAATACAATTCACATTTCAATATATTCAGACACAACGATGTTTCGACATTGCATCACGAATTTCTCTCTGATTTTTCGCCGTAATATTGCCCTGTCGGCAACAAGGCGCTACAAGGATCCCATCTATGAGATCTTTTTGGAAAAAGTGAGCGAATACCACAAGAAGAGTCCCACAGGCAAGCCCCTCGATGCGGGTCCAGAGTTTGAGCAGGAGCTAAATGAGACCTTGGAGCGTCTGGCACTGAAATTCGGTGGCGGTGATGGCATAGATATGTTGGAGTTTCCCAAATTCAAGGAGCCTGTGGTTACACTGGATCCTCTGTCCATTTTGGTCAAGTAAGTTCTCAAGGGTTCTTGGCCGCAACAATGGTTGGTTTTTATGGCGATATATTCCATTAGGCCGGAAGAAAAGACAGAAAAGAATGGAAATGCAAAGAAGAAACCAAAGGAAATGAAGGCGGCAGCCAAGGAGAATGACAAAAAACAGGAAAAGAAGGCCAAAGATCAGAAGAAGACAAATGAAACAAAGGCCAAAGCAAAGGACACAAAGCCCAAAGATGACAAGAAGAAGAAGTAGAGGAAAATGCGGATTTTTTTAGTGTTTAATTTTCGTTTCTGTGTTTTTTATATCCAAATTTCAATTAAATCGTTCCACTGTGCCCGCTGCCACACACACGGCAAAGATAATGCTTCACGCAATAATGTCTTTTTATCCGTCATCAGCATCCCTCATCTCTCAGCTTTCCGCTCCTTTTGGCTGGGCTTTTGGCTTCGTGGTTGACTTTCAAATATATGCATCACGCATACGCACTGTGGGGGCATGCAGCCTTGCCTTCGCCGCCTGCAGGTGGAAGGAAGCCATCCTGCCCGCGCGCAACTCGTACGGAAGTGACAATGAGAATGCATTTAAAATGCATTAATTGAACGCATTTTCCAGCCTCTCCACTTTGCAGTAATTGTAAGACGTCCTTTGGCTCTTCCTTCAATTCCACTGAGAGGGAGAAAGAGAGAGAGAGAGCCACAGAGAGAGAGGCTTACTCTGCCCCAGAAAACTATACTTCACACTGCATAAATTAATTGAGTCTTCGTGTTCAAACAACAGACTGAAAACTGCCTGCCGCGTCTGCGGCTTGGCTTTTCCCTCCTCTCAGTGCAGTACAAGTCTCAGGCTGTGTGTCCTGTGTGTGTGTTTCGATCGAGTCGTCTCTGTGGTTAGCCGCACTATCAAAAACTTTTGCTTTTGGGCTCCTACTCGAGTCTAATGCATTTTTCAGCCAGGCCGGAGAGCTGTTCCGCGTGGTGCAGCTTCCTCCAGCTGCCGCCCCATCTGCAGCTCGTCTTCTAACTGACGCAATCGAATTAAAATTTATGACAAAACCATTAACAAAGTTGCCAGTTCGTTGCCATGGCCATTGGCAGCCAGTCAGGCGACCAGACCAAATACCAGACGGAAAAGAAAACTGGAAAAGTTTTGCATGTGACCTCCATCGGAGCCGACTCCCGCAAAAGTCAGTGGGCTGTAACAGCTAAAACTTTTCAAATTAATTGATGGCAATTTGGAGGTGAAATACAGGTTAAATACGGGATCAAATTTGTATTGGTGGGAAGCGATAGTTTTTGGATACTTCTGAGACAGATTTTAGAAGAATTTTGGGAGTGAAAGTTTGGGAAAAAATATATGAAGAATTGTATTCAACTGAAGGTTCTTCACTGGTACATTTTGGAAGATAGTTGGCCGGATATCCAATTGAAAAACTTGAGCGCAGGCAGCGTAGGCAGACAGATGGAAACATGAAAACATTTCATTCCAAAACATTCATAAAAGTTTAAATAAATAATTCTAGATACAACATTTTTCGTAATAGTACAGAGAAAATTATTTCATTTTCTTGCAAACATTTTCACATTAATTTTCTGGATAATTCCTACATCAGCATTTTCATAGAACTTTGGAACCATCCGTTGTGGCAAATAAATGTTTAATGGGCGCTTGCACGGAAGCGTCAGCGCCTCCCTATTTTCTTCGTTTCTCCGTCGTTTCCATTCGAGTATTTGCGCATACCACAAATGTCTTTTTGGCCAAGTGGCCAAGCGGCCGGACAATGGCCCCCAGGGCCTTAGACGACGACTGTAGACCAAAGCAAACTGCTACCCAGACATCTTTCGAATCTTGAAAGATGGAGAGGGGGACTCCAAGAGCCGGTAGAGTTGGGGACAGCTGAGGAGAAGAGAGGCTTTCCTTTTGGCCTGTTCGTGGCGATAAAACGCTTCAATGTTCACTTATTGGCTGGGCGTGAGGAATTTTTATATTAATTTATGGGTCTCTGACACCGGTGGAGAGCGGGCCCAAGAAAAGGTGGGAGCGGGTGGGCAGCAATCGGTTGAATTTTAAATTATGAATTGAATTGGATCTGAAGCTGGTGCTGGTACTGGGGGAAACTGTGAAAGAGAAACCACCGAGGCAGCCAGGTTTTCGCACAGGTTTCATTCCTGGAGTATTTCCATTGAAGGCTCAGTTCAGTGCTTTTGCGGCCTGTTTCCTGCGGAAAAGTTGTTTTATTTTTCATTCAATTTCTCTGGTCTTTCTGCCGGATTCGGTTTTAATGGCTTTTTAAATGCCAACTGATAAATGGCCAGGCCAGCAGCATGACAAATGAGATTTCCGACTCGACGCTCCGTTCTGCCATAAAGTGTTCCGCTGCTGCCTGTCGGTGGATCGTATTTCCTTTTATTTTATTTTTTTTTTGTTATTTTAATTTTTTTCTTTTTTGCATTTTTGACGCTACGCAGCGGATTATTAACTTATATGGAAAGCAAGCATCTCTCATTAATAATTTGCTTATAAAGTGAAATGGCAAAAGGGAAAGCGTACAAATACATACTCTGTCCGCTCTCTCTCTCTCTCTCTCTCTCTCTCCCGCTGCGTCAAAGATTAAACAAAAGGTCTTTTATGGCAATATATTTTGTATACACGATACTCAAGGGGTACTCTGGGGTATAATTGGTTTGTGTAGATGTATGGCACAGACAGAAGGAAGCGTTTTCTACACATTATACATTGATTAAGCCATATGGCCTATATATTCTTGATTAGGATAGCGAAATTCATCAAAAATTTGAAAGATTGAGTAAATCCACAAAACCAGAATCACGAACAATTGTCAACTAGACTGCCAAATCTGGAACCGATCGGATGCTTATTACGGCCAAAAAATATAAAACAAATGCCATTTTGGCTATTTAAATATTTAATGCTTCTGGTGTAGAATGAAAGTACATAATTACAGCGTATCTTAGAGTCGCGACCCTTGTTCACAAAACATTTCGACTGGGAATGTTACGCATACGCATAAACGTGCAAGTGGAGGTTCAGGCGAAATTAAATGACAAAAATAACATGTTCCCAGTCATCTTTCAAGGTTTTCCACTGGGGAATGAAATGTGGTGTGTGGATGGATGGATGGTGGCTAAGGGTCTCAGGACATACTCTCTGTTTTGGCAGGACACACAAACAGCAAGCGAAAGAGGAACAGAAAGCAAGACTATATTTTTCGCGTAATTTCACGTATTTTGTGCAAATACACTCGAATATGCCACAACAGCAACAAAAACAACACAGACTGAGAGACACACAAACAAAAACTGTGTTATTTTTTCTTGGCAGGCGTTTTATCTTTCCAAATCGAAATCTGCTTCTCTTTTCTGTTTCTCTTGCCTGTATTTCCTTCTCTGTCTCGCTCTTGCTTGTCTCTCTCTCTGTATCCCCCTGCTTTCTGAGGGGAAATTCTTCCTTCCAACAGCAAATGTTGGGGCATGGGCTGGCTGGTTCTCCTGTTTGTCAGTTTTTTTCCATAAAATTAAATTTTATTTATTCATACATTAAGAATGAATACAATATGAATACAAACGTCTGTCCGGCGATTGCCAGCGGTAAGCAGCAGATCCAAGGCAGGAGGCCTGCTGCCTGCCACATAAATAACGGGGAGAAATCTTTGATGGGTTAGGATGGATGTATCTTTAAGTCATATTTCGAAATACGAAATATTGCGAAATTCAGTTAATCTCAACTAATTGGCCCAAACACTCGAATCACCATTTTACTGCACAGTTTTCCTGCTTGTTTATCTGTAAACAAAATACCAGCAGTAAAAGAAAAGTGCAATATCATTTCTATTTGTTTTGGATGGGGAAAGCAAGCATCATCCTTTGGAATAAACATCCTTGGGAAGTGTACAAACAATGAGACAGCACTTTCAATAAATCAAGGGACGAGGAAGAGGCGCAGTGGATTTTGTGGGGATCTCTCTAAATGGATTAAAAAGCAATGCCGGAAACTAAATTGAATCCTAGACCAAGGAAGAAAGGTTTTTGCCTTCCATTTGGCTCTCCTCCCCACTTAAAATTTTACTATTCATTCGATGACTTCTTTTAAAGACCATCAACAACATTGTTTCGGGTTGTGTATTTCTGTGTATTTTCTGGAGACTCTCTCGAATTGTTTTTCAACGATGTCAAGTCTGAAAAGTGATTTGCCATAACGTGGGGCTCTCTCGCTCTTTATAGTCGTTAAAACACGACAACAAAGCAAAGAACTGTGGCATAAATCGAGGCGCTGTTGGCTGTTGGCTGGAGCTGGGGCTGCTAAACAGATTTTTATATCAGGCAAAGAAACACGAAACGGGGAATGTTCTACGCTCTGTGGAATACACAAACAATAGTGCGTAAAGATGGGCAAATTGTCTATTTAGAGCTACAACAGAAAAAAGGGATATACAACACAAGGTCAGGTCCGGTCCGCCCCCAACCTCCGGGCTTCTTGTTGCTCTTTTTTGCGTGTCTGCTGTGTCCATGTCCTGCCTAGTCCTTTGTCCTCTGTTTAGTCCTGGGCTCAACGAAGCTCAACATTTTATAGACCGATAGACAGAGACTCTGGATAATTTATGCGCCATAAAAATGAAATCGAATTGCAAGCCGTAGAGAGGCGAGGCGGTGGCTCTTCTTGGAAAAGAGAGTCATCAAGTGGCAATTTATGGTCGACTTGACCGCTTCACTGGCAAGCCAAAGGACCAACGAACAGGACCTCTACCTTTACCTGTATCTGTATCTGTGTCTAAACATATGTGTCAGTTAAACAAAACACTTGACGTTCATTTTATGCAAATTAAACAGCAGCGCATAGCACCCAAAAAAGTTCTAGCATAAATTTCCCTAAAATGCTGAAAAATAAATTAAATTAAATGAAGTTGAAAACTGCGACAAAGCAATGTTACCCCCACCCAACCCAAAACCATAAATTTCCTTGTTTTAGAGGGTGTCAGAGCGCGCAGAACCGTGAACGAAAAATATTTGTTTATAGCGCAAAACGGGAGTGGAAAATTTTAACATAAAATATCTGTAGTACCAGAAATTGCAATGAAAATATTTGTGCTGCAGGGACAATTTTTGGTGTAATCAAATTAAGGTGCAACTTTGGCTGGCAGTATGCATCTGTCAGATACTTATTAGCAAAGTTTGGCTATGCTGCAACAAAGGCTCTGGAAAGAGGGTGGCGGGAAATTAGTTTTGGGGCAACGTAAGGAAAACCCCATATTCCACAATTTTGATTGAAATTGAAACGCAGCAGAAAGAGACAGGCAGACAGAATGAGAGATGGAGAGAGAAAGAGAGAGGGAGTGCCATGGGAATATAGGAATTTAATTGAAAGATAGTTCTTCGATATGAAATTGCTAAGAAATCCTCGCACGGAGAGACGTGATCTCGTTTCCCAATGCATTCTGATGCTGCTTTTGCTGCTGCTGCTTCTGCTGTCATTGTCTTCGCGGTGTCTCGCCGCAGTCGAAGGCGAGAGAGGTGACGTGACTTGAACTCGAACGTGCCCCATATTAGCGGCAATGGCATCCAGTTCGGGGTGGCTGCATCCAACGTAAACATAATCATCATCATGCATGCGGCAACCTACATATACACACATACACACACACCCATTCTCTAAAGCAATTCCATTGCCAATCCCATTCGTTGTCGCATGAAAAGTGGAAAATCGGGTTAACAGTGCCAAAAATGCAGACAACAGCAGCAGCAGCAGCAGCTCTGGCTGCGGTTCCCGATAAATCAGCAACAATACATTCCCTAACCTCCAACAGTCGCTTCCCCCTTCTCTTTTCCCCCCAACCCCCTCTCAATGCCATTGCCATTTCTATGGATGGCATAGCAGCGCTCAGGTTAGATCGCAGTTTTGTTCGCGCACAAAAATAGATTTAAAATTTATAAATTATGAGCATTTGTTGCAGCAAATTGAAATGTTACGTCTGCAGCGCGCATGATGATGCCTCCGATGGATGTGTCAGAAGCTTTAAAATGCACCATGCATTTCCCCAGATAAATCTTTAATTTGTCAGGAATTAAATTCGTATTTGAATCGTATGGCAAAAGGAACGGAAGGAGAATGCGTGTCCGCATAAATGAAAAGAAGCTGTGAAAGGATTAAGCAAAAGATAAGCCCATTGGCATCGGGAAGCTATGGTGCATTAATGAGCAAAGAAAGGGAAACAAACAGACAGAGAGAGAGGGAGAAATGTGACAGATCTTGGGTACAGTGGTGGTCAAGTCAACAAACGGACTGTGCACCTATCTTTCTGTCAGGGGGCCTACATGAGGTGGATCGAAGGAACCCCCTCCCCTGTCTGTCCAGCAAACCGCAACACTCGGAATCTCTTCGGTAGATCTTCTTCTTCCACTTTAATTCGATGCATTTCTTTGGGAATTATTCTACGAATTCATTTTGAAATTAAAATTTCTTTAAACTTTAAAACCATTTCAAATGTTAAATGCATTTAGATGGAATATTTGCTAATTGAATTTGAGTTTCTGCCACTCAATTTAGATGTTATGCCATAATTATCATTCAATTAACCAAAGTCCAATAAATTTTATTCAATAATACATACGAGTGTATTTCAAACCATAAATAAAGCAAACAAACGGAAAAACACTTCATTCGAAATTCGATTTTAAGCTAATTGAGTAAATCCATGTCCAAATTAAAATTTTAGGCAAATGTTTGCCATGGTTGCGGCGCTTTTTGCATCTTAAAAAGTATTGACAATTTAATTTAGAATATAGAGAAATGTGTGTTGTTTACTCTCTATCTCTCTTTCTCTGTCTCTCACTCGCTGGCAGCATAAATCATTGGCTTAGTTTATTTCAAGTTCCCAAACACCCACCAACCACACTCTTTTGGGCACCACTGAAAAATACGAAATACCGCACATTCGGCCATTTGGGATGATTTTATGGCAACGAATGGAAACCATTTTCATATTCATGCTCGTATATCAAAAACCATTTTCAGAAATGTCTGTGCATCGGTTGTCGGTGCTTTTGCGGTGGCCAAAAGCATAATAAAATGCAGATAACGGCAATCAAATTTACTGGGCTAACGGGATCTAGATGGAAACCCCCCCCCCCCGCCCACCACACAAATGCTGCAAGCGATAGCTCCACCTCGTTTATGAAGAGAGCAAAAAATCGAATAAAAATATTTCAATAATTTCCCATACAAACAAACGAGCCAATTAATTAAGAAAATATTTATAGCCCCACAAACATCTCGTATATCTTGCAGTTTTTCTATATTCTTCATGTTTTTCTCATTACAGACATTCTCCTCCTGTCGACTGACCACTATAATATTTTTGGAATGTTCCCAGAGCGCCGCATTCTGCTTTAAGCATCAGACTATAAGGTTTGCTGAATTCTTTTTTTTCTAATTAATTTTTAAGACATTTAAAGGGCTAGTAGCAGCAAATCTGCCCCCGTTTTTTTTATTATGCGTTGTATTTATGCTAATCAAACAGAATCCTGACCTCAGGCAAAAGTACGCCTCAAAATCAGTAAAAGACAAACAAATCCAGGGACGACCGACCAACGACTTTTGGGACACTTGGCAGCATGTACCACAGACTTGGGTTGGATTTGTTGTTGTTGCCCCTGGTCCAGTGGCAGCCACTCACCCTGGGGGCCTTAGGCCGTGTTCTCAGACGAAGGCAAGTTCGTTGTCGAACTGAACTGAACTGCTGCTGCCTTCTGCTTGTTTATAAAAATAATTAAGAAATATTTTCATGTTTTATAACTTTTCAGTGCTGTTGCGAAAAACTTTTTAAATAGACAAACTTTTGTTGCCGCCGCCGCCGCTGCCGCCGTTGCTTGTTTACTTACTTACAAAATGTTGCTGCTCGCAAAACTCCTGTCCTGCCCGCTGCCCCCGTTCGCGTATCCGTATCCGTATCTGATGGATACATTTGAAAAATCTCGAAACAGCTAACAACATACTTCATTATAATATTTTCACTTTCAACTTGCGCCAGCCAAGTGTCCGCCGCCGCTCATGCCGCCCATGCCGCCCATGCCACTCTCACTCTCTCTCCGCTCTCTGCTCTGGACAACCACTTTTCGCTCCCCTGTTTCGCTCTGTTTTGCCCTGTTTCTGCCCTTGTTATTGTTCTCGGTCGTGGCTCTGTTTCTGGGCCCCCTAAGGCTATGCCATTGACGTTACCATCTGGGGGGGTGGGGATGAGTGGTTCCCTTGACAAAATGTCTAATTTCCGTGCAGGAAAGCAAGAAATTACTTTATGGTTTGTTAATAGCAGGCGCCATAAAGCGGATCCTCTGCCAAAAGCTTTCTCTGGGCTTAAATGTTGTGACATATTTTGCTTAAGATTCTTTCCGGCCGCCGGCCAAGTTACAGAGCACAGAGCAGAGCCATTTGCCTACGAGAGGATACGAGTCCTGTTTAATGGGAATTTAAACGGTAACAATTACAGTTTTCCAGAGGGTGGGCTAGCCACCCCACCTGTCAAGTCAATGAAACTTTCGGCCACTGCGCTATTGAAATTTTTAGCGAGTACGGTCGAAATGACACCTGGTCCTGCGACAGAGAGAAACAGAGAGAGAGAGAGAGAGAGATAGGTACTGTGCACTGCGGGGAACAAAAGTTTAGCTCAACAGGAGTAGGGCTTCTTGGATACCAATGACACCCTCAAGCATCCATGGAATTTCATCATTTTTTTTTTGCCCTCCCCTGTCCACAGAGTTCTGTTGTCGGAATGGGCGTGAATCCGTGGGTGGTCCCATTTTTATTTCTTCGTTTCTTTTTATTTGCTTTTAGTTTTGTATATATTTATGCATGTAAAAAGCAAAGATAACTTTTGGCTAGACGCAAGTATAACATTTTGTACGAGTGGCGCCCCCCCAGATAGATCCCATAGGCAAGGATTATGTACAACGTTTCCCTAGAACAGAAAGGTAACATTATATTTTGGTTTTGTTTGTTTTTTAAGGGAAAGTTATATTTAAATAGTAAGTACTTTCTGTTGTTGTTGTTGTTTTTTGGGGAAAAGTGGCTTAGTTCTAGTAGCTTTGAAGACCGCTCCAATTCCAATTATCTGTGGGTTCCCGTTCCCCCACACAACCCTCTTATGGCCAGCCTAGCCCTTTGCTGTCAGCGTCTGTCTGTATGTCTGTCTGTCTGTCTGGGCGGCCTGCAAAATATTTCCGCCCTTTTGCGACGATACAAGTTTTTGCATTGCCCACATATTTGTACCCTTACATATGCGGGAGCAGGGTATTGCGATTCTGTTAAAATGTTTGCAGCACATAAAAGGTGGGAGGGGGGAAGCAAAGCAGAGAGACAAATATGCCCAATGACTAGAGTAACTGCAGTACCAGCGATCACTCTAGGCACTGCAGCTCGGTTGTTTTTTGTATTCCTTCATTCCACTCTTCAATCGATCGTCGAACAGGGAGAGAGAGAAAAAGTCAGAGCAAGCTTTTTGCTTGCAGTCGACTAAATTGCCGAGAGCAGGTAGTCGTCCCATCAAGCAAGAACACGCAGAGATCTGCAGATAAGCCGAAGCGAAGCCAGCGACAAATGTAAATAACAGAAATAATTTAGCATTGACTGCAGTGTCTTGCTTGCAGAAAGAGATCTCTCTACTCTTTTTACTTATGCATAAAAATAAGTAAAAACAATCGATCTTTAAGGGTATCTAAAACGTTATATAAAAGTCTTGGGTGTAAGCTAGAATTTTTTCATGTTTTTTGTGCGTTTGTTTGGGGACTGTGGAATTTTTCTGTCTTTTGTTTGTTGGTGCGGGGTGTGCCTTGTGGTGTGCTGTGGTGTGGCCGCCTAAGCTCCGCTTGTAGTACGAGTATTTGCCAATTTTGTGTCTGCTGGCCGCAACAGGAACATCAGAAGCAGCAGCAGCAAAATCTACAAACAAGCAGAACAGAACAGAAAACTGCAGAGGGCCTCGGGGCCAGAGAAGAAACTAATTTCTTGCCGGGATTTTGCCTTCTTTTGTATCGTTTCTCTCTGTGTGTTTGTGCCCCGCGGCAGAGTTAAGTTTGTATCCCCCCCGCATTTACCCATTGTTGTGGAGGGTTTTACTCCAGTTTTTCCTTGTTTGTTGCTTGTTAGCAGCCAACCAGTCGGCCATTTGCCTTGAATGCCATTTCCTGTTGCCCATTTTTTGGCATCGACTAAGGGATACGGACTACAACGGGACTGTGTGTGTGTGTGTGTGTGTGGCCGCCTCGGGGCGAAATATTTAAATTATTATTTCGTCTGCTGCCGAAGAAAAGTAAATTTGATTAGGAAAATAAATGCTGCCCTTGGGAACTCGACAACGGCTACCTGCACAACGTGGATTGGGGGAAAAATGTCATTGGGTCGGGGGGTAGAACAAAAAGATTTCCATCTGCTGATGATGCAGTTTTCTTGTTAATTAGTTGCAGTCGGTTTTATGCTCCGCGTAATTTGTGGCATGTGTTCGAGATCCCATCAGTTGTTCGGGCTCCCCTCCATCTCCTGCTCATTCTCTCTGCTCTACCGTAAAGTTCATGGAGCCATCAGGGAGCAGTGTCTGGCAGGGGTCAGGGCTGGGGCTGTGGCTGGGGCTGTGCGGGGGAATATTCAATATAATTCACATTCAATTTCCATTTCCAATCTGCGGTGCGGGATGTGTGGCATCGCCCGAGGGCATCATCACATGTGTTTGTGCCGCAGTCCAGATGCCATCAAATGCAGCAGGGGCATGCATCACACCACCCACACCCACACGCAGCATGAGGCATGAGGCATATGCCTCGTAATCAACCCCTTGTTGCTGCTGCTGCTGATGATTCTTCTGGTGTTATGTTCTCTCTCTCTCTTTGGCTCTGCTTGTAAACAAAACATTCATCAAAATTTTATACACTCAACATGTGCCACGCCTGGCTGCATGCCCCAACCATACCCCATGCCCCATGCCCAACCAGACAGCCCTCGGGGGCCTGACAATATTTGTTTGTGTTTTCGGTTGTTGTTGCTGTTGCTTCTGGCTTCGATTTTTGAATGTTCTTTGAAAAATCACAACTAATTAACTTTGCCGTTAGCTTCTACTGCTGCCACACCTTCCCCTGCTGATTCCCCTGTTCCACCTTCTGCCTCTGCTGCTGCTGCTACTGCTGCTGTCCAGATGTGGACCGTTCCGGAAAACAGTCTATAAATAGCAAGACGTGCAGCTCGGTGCTAAAGGTAGTTCTGTCGACATCCGGTCGTTTGATAAGATATCTCTCTCTCTCTCTCTCCGTGCTAAATGAGCCTCATCATCCCCAGCCATCACACTGAGGTGAGGCCCCCTTCTCCTACCATCAAACAGAGATGAGATTTAGTGTGGCTCTAGCAGAGGTGTGTGGACTTATGTAAATATCTAACAGAGGGGGAAAAGCAATGAACTTTGGCTTCGGTTTGTAGATGAATATAATGGGGGAAATCCTTATGGATTTATGGGATCTATGAGAAGTTCGTTTCGGTGGGAAAAAGGGGTTCCCATGATTTGTTGAAAATTTAAGGAATTGCAGATCTCATTTCCTTGTGAACTGCTTTTTGCCATTGCCTTTGCCGTCATATAATGTGCTGTAAACTACGAGGAATGTATCAAGGGATGACTGATAAGGAATCTGCCCTAAATCACCGCTAAACGTTCGATGATTGATAAGGAAAACCACGCTAAAAGAGGAGTGATTAATGAGAAATCTAATAAGAAATCTAAATGTGAGCTAATTGATCTGTTAAATGGTCGATGGCTGATAGCAAATCTTACCGAAATGGTGGAGGATATGGCTGCTTAGCCTTTGGGATCCCATATTCGCTTTCTGCATTCGTCCTTCTGCAAAGAAAGCTTCAACATTCGGTTTCTAAGGCCTTCTAAATATAAATTTCCAAGGCTCTCCAGAGATCTATAAAATTTCTTCAATTGTTATGCCTAGAAAAACTTCCAATTGCAGATATTTCTTTGCCCTTCAGTTCCCAAAAAATATCCCTTTTCTTTAGTTTTGTGTTTTTTTAGCAGAAACTTTCCTTTAATGTTGCATACTTCAGAGCTGTTTCTTTTTTCCAATCGACTTTCAGCTTATTTTATGAAGAAAACTTTTGTTTAATTGAAAAAATCGAGAGAGAGATAGAGAGAAGAGGAACAGAGAGACTGAGAGAAGAGAGAGAAGAGAAGATAAAGGGGGAACAAAAGTTTAAAAAAATGGGTTAATTTTTTTGCATTTCTGCGGCTGTGGCTGTCGACTGTCGACTGTGATTGGAGGAGGCTGCTGCCTGGCGCTGCTGATTGTTTCCCGGCGACTGGCTTTCCATTGTGTTGCAACTTCTGCAAGAACTGTCGATGAGCGGGTAAATTGTTGGCAAGTTTTTGCACCACTACCTCTGCAGCTCCGCGAAGCTGTCTCCGGCGGAGACAATGAAGGTATTTATTAAAACAAACTTGGGTCGACGCAGCCGGCCTTGGGGGGCGAAAGTTTAGCCGCAGTTTGGGGCAATTCTCTCAGAGTCGGAGTCGAAGTCGGAGTCGTTGTCTCGGTGCCAGCGGCAGGCGCATAAATGTCACTTACGCGCTTCTTGACACTGCTCCACACCCCCCAATGCGGCAGGCAGCAGCGGCAGCACCAACGCCAAAGCCATTGTGAGGCATCAGCCATTGAGAGAATTGCGAAAGTGACAATTTCGACAGCCACCAGCTGGGTAGGTATCCTGGGTGTCCTGTCCCTCCGTTGGGTGATGCAGAGGCGTCGTCCTCGTCGTCCTCGTCGTCCTCGTCGTCCTCGTCGTCTTCGTCTGGCCAAAGTGTAAGTGCAAATTCAGTTTTGGTTTAATTTCGACAGGCTGTGGTCGGTCGCTCCTTCGGTAGCCCCCCTCACTGCAGCAAGCAGCAGTCGACTGCAGGCAACAGCAAAGTCTTTTTCCATTGACCAAAAGCTGTCAACAGAGTGCTTGCTCCAGTGTCCTGTCTCTGTCTCTGCTGCTCCTGCTGCTCCTGACCTCTCCAGCCTCCTCGTCAGCTGCGATCTTTATTAAGTTTTCGCTTACTTTTCGCCAAGTGCGACGGAAAGTTTCTGGTCGTGTCTCTTTTTCGTTCTTTTTGCCTCACGCCTTCCAAACTGAGTTTTTTCTTGTTTTGCCACATTTCGGCTTTTGTTTTCTGGTTAAGATTGCAAATCTGTCCATTCCATAAAGTCGAACACCCCCTGGGCACCCCTCTCAACCCACTCAGCCCTCTCACCCCTTTATCCCATGCCCCTCAATAGCCATTTTCATTTGTGTGGCAACTTTCTTTCTTGTCTTTCTCTCGTTTGCAAAAATTTGTTGTTTATTTCTTTTTGGTTAAAGAAGTTTTCATTGGTGGCAAATTAATATTTTCGAAAAAGTTTTTGGACTACAAATAATTTAATGCACAGCTACTGTGGGAGAGAGGGAGAGCAGGAGTGCAGAGCCATGGCGGAAGGGAGGGGAACAGAAGTGCACAGACACTGTGGAAGAGAGAAACAAGACTGCAGGGGAACAGTGTGAGAGATTGGAACAAGGGTGCACAGCAACTGCGGATCAGACGATCCCTAATGTACAGGTCCTGCACGACTTCCCCTCCCCCCTAAGAGCTATTGAATATTTTGGTATTTATCTTGTCAGAACAATAAAATACGGCAAATATACACAGGAATGACATGTGTACGAGACATGTGGCGACGGAAGAAAGGAAGGAAGAAGCATGCAGCAGAGTCCTGTGTAATGTGGGTCACTGTGTGTGGAGAGGCCTGGACTGGAGCTGCATGCCAAAGGAATTTACATGCTCGAACATTCCCATTGAAGCATTTTGTAAGCCATTGGAAAATTGACATAAGCTGCTTGTGCTCCTCCTCTCGTTTCTCTGTTCCTCTCGCCTCTGGCACACTTTTCTCCTGCTTCAAATACAAGTATTTGCTCCCGGAGCAAGCGTCTCCTTATCCTGCTATCAATTCTCGAGACGTACGTTCATATATAAAATATATATCGCTGCGTTAAAAAAAAGCGAAAATTATGCTAGAAGCAGAAACAGAGTCAGAGACACAGTCTGAAACAGAGACAGGGACAGAGGAGGAGCAGCTGCGGCTCAACCAGAGCATTGACCGCCATGTGCCACAATTGGTGCAACTGCTGCTGGGAATTCCGGATGAATCGACAGGCAACTCGGCCAACTACGAACAGTTTGTGGCATCTGCCAAACAGACGCTAGCGGTGGCTCATTACTTCGGTGAGCAATCGGCGGATGATGTGAAGGCAAAACTGTCGGAATTTATGCTGCAACTGCATCTCCGGGGGCATGAAAACATTGCCAAAGCCATTGAAAAGCATACCAAAACGGTGCTGACAGACCCCTGGCTGGAAGAACACCCAGTGAAGGAATTCCAGTGTCGTCTGATCGAATTTTATTTATCCATTAGCAACTTGAAGGATGAGCTGTGCCCGGAGGAGGACACAAGGGCACGCGAGAATCTAGTGAATCGGTACATGGAAGCCTCAAGGAATGGGGATCTAGATTTTGAAATAGATTCTGATACAGATTCGAACGTAGCGAACTCCAACCTGTTCGGAAGTGATCTGCGACAGGAAGAAGTGGACGCTGCTGTCGTCAGTCCTCGCTCACTGCCGGAAGTCAATCCTTGCCCGGAGGCGATACTCCAGGAACGTTGCAATTGTGGGGGGGAATTCCTACATCGCTCCTTTGCCACCGACTATGGGGGATATCTCTATGAAAAGCTGCTACTGCTGTATGTGGAGAAGCCCATGGACGAGAAGAAGCTGCTGCTGCGAGAGCTGCTCGTCATGTTCTTTTTGCCCCATAATTGCATTTACTTCGTGATGGTCGATCAGCGCATTCAGCTGCGTATAGATGCACCACAGATCGTACAGATGGTGTCGCTTAAGCCCATACTGGAGTCCCTGTGGCAGATGCAACAGCTGCGGCGGTTCATCGATCGCTGCCTGAACATGCAACGTAGCTGCGATCGCTTGCAGACGTTTATTTGCTTTGCCCAAGGACTGGAGAGGCTGCTGCTGCCCGTGATGCAATTTCTGGTGGACTACGATCGTCGCGTGCGTGAGGACACGGACGTAACCAATGTGCAACACTTTCTGTGTAGCTCAGCGTCGCCCATGGAGCGTATTCAGCTGCTGGCTGACATGCTGCCACGTGACCTAAAACTGGACACGGAACCGCCAGACGTTTGCTGTCTGAAACTTTTGGGGCAGCTCCACGACCTCAGCTCAAAGCCGCAGACGGCGGTGGCTAACATTCCGAGCAATCATGCCGCATTGGCTGCCACATTGTTGCTTCACTCGCTGGAGGGTTATTGCCGCATTCTGGACACTTGGTGGCAGACGGGCGACTTTCGGGACCACAGTGGAGAGCTTCCTTATAGGCAGCAATACCTGGATGGCATGACGAGCTTCATGCCACGTGAATTGGATCGCAAGAGTCGCTCGTGTGTGCGTTTCATCGACCGCCATGTGCGGCAGGCGGCACCGTTTGTGGCCACCCTGTGCGACACGCAACGCAACGAAGATTTTGTCACAACGCACAAATCTCTCTTCAAGGTGAGTCTGTATCACGAGTTCGTGTCGACGTTCCTGTCCGAGTTGTGGGACTACCATGTGCGGTGTTACGTCCATCCGCGTTCCCAATTCGCCCTACCGATGCTGGAGCAGCTTGTCATTGCCTACCACAAGGACATGCAGGGCCATATGGATCATCCTTCGATCCATGATATACTGGAGAGTGTCCTGGCCTGTGCCGCATATGTGCCACTGCCGGAGATTATCCAGCAAACCCTGAAGCAACTGCTGCACAAGCGGCTGCTGCTGGTGCGCTGCTACACGCAGCATCTGCTGCAGAAGGAGCTGCATCTCCAGGACAAGCTACAGTGCCTGGTGGGTGTATGCATGGGGGATGTGGCCAGGCATCAGCAGAAGTACGAGAGATTCTTTGAGCTCCTGGAGGATAATCAACTCCCTGAAGCATCGTGGAAGCTGAAGGATATCTTTGAGGAAATGTATTCACAATTTTCCAGTATGATTTTTGTGGATTTACCAGGCTCCAACCTGGCGGAGATCTCCCTTAAAGTACCCAATGACAAGATCCTGCAGCGTGTGGTGACGCCGCCGCTAATGGAGCTCCTGAACATATCCTTTCGCCTGAATCTGCGCATGCATCAGGCGCAATGGATGCTCGCCGCTTTGCCACAGCTGCCAGAAGCAAAGGCCGAACGACCGATTCAAGTTCTGGTGGCTGTCAAAAACATACTTGCCTTCAACCTCCGGCATCCGGGGAAGCCCGACATGGCGCAGAAGATACACAGCAGCTATCTGAAGGCCTTACAGAAACCCTTCGCAAACCTCGAGGATCTGCGTCTGTCCAGCCACAAGTTTGCACAACGAATGTCGGAACTGCTTTCCCAATCGACCGCCGAGGGCGATCCCGAAGAGATTCTTGCCTGGGCGCAGCTCCTGAAGAAGCTCTGGCTGCGTACGTTGGATTTACTGGACGATGGCAATGCTTTTGTGGCCTGCCCGGCGGCATCTCCATGCTTCCAATTGGACTACAAATTGCTGGATGAGCGCTACTTGCAGACCATTCTGCGCCGCTGCTGTGCCATGACAATGGTGGCAATATTGCAACAAAAATAGATCCAAAATACACTTTTATTGGATACTATAAATAAGCGCGGAAACACGGGCAAATTTGAAGCCTTGTTTTTGGTTTGGACTTTGATTTTGATTGTTGCATGAATGCCCCAAAATGTTGCCCAAAATTGAAACTTAAAGTTGAAATTATAAACACAATTTTGTCTCTTCTTTTCTTTTATTTCACGCTTTTCTGCTGCGTTACTCATTCACTCTTTGTATCCCTCAGATACATTTTCACTTTTGACGCTGATTTGTTGCTTAATCGTTTATTTGTTTCGCCCCTTTCCCACACCGAAACACATTTTTATCAATTTCGAATCGAGAGGGTCGTCCCACCCATGGACGACAAAAACCGCAAATTAAATCGCTTTCGGGTGCTGGCAAAATTTATTTCTAGCGCGTGGTAAAAGCCGCAATCCCCACACGCACTCCGCACAACACACACACACATACATGAGTGAAAAAAATGTGCAAAAAATTAGAGAATGGCAAAGCCAATGCCAAATCACAGCCAAAACGCTGCAGCGTTTGCCAGCAACCGAAATTATTCTGTGGATTTTGCGGCCTCGGCGGTTGGACAAGAGGAGAGAACAGGTCCCCTGCCCACGGGGTAGGCGGGGTGGGCGACAGGCGGTGCACGTTCACACTCTTGGCCATAAATTGCACCAACGCCTTGTTGGCCAATAAATACTAAAGTCTTGATATGCTGCACTGTGGCAAACATCGGTGTTGTGGCGCCAAGTGCCATAAAGTTGTTGTTGTTCCGGGTGGGCAGGGGCAGGGGCAGGCATCGGCTCGGCTAATTAAAGTTTGTGCCGCATTTTCAAATTAAAAATTGTTAATTTGTGTCCAGATTTTCCTCAGCAGAGTTGGCCAGCGACATTTGGATACCCTTTTTTGGACTATGTGAGATTTTTTTTTCATGGGAGCATGGGAACTGATGCGGGTACTATGAGTTTAAGGCATTTTTGAAGAGCTGTAGAGACGTTTTATATTGTTCATATATTCTTGTCAGAAAGTCGAATTTGAAGAGCTAAACCCATTAAGATCAAAGCACTAGAAGCTTGCAAAACCTTTTTGTTTTCTAAAGGTAATCCAAGGTAAAGGTAAAGAAGAGCTGCAATGTGTTTCATTTAGAAATATTAGATTTGTTGAAACAAAACTTATAAAGAATGATTATATTATAATGCAGATTTGCATTCCAATCGGATCATTATTATGGTCAGAAAACTATTCCCAAGTACACCTGTCGATTGGCTCTTTGAACACTTGGGCTTTCGAATATTTATTGCGATTTTGGGATCATAGTTTTAAGCGGCACACAGAGATGCAGGAAACTAATTAATGGGTATCTTAGTGTCGCGTCCAGCGAGTCGCTATTCCAAACGTTTCGAGTGCTTTTTTGCATATATATTTTTTTGTATTCTTTTTATTGCGTGGGTGGTGGACGATGTTTGGCCATGCTTGAGGGATCTCCTGGTTTATGCCCCTGACAGCAGACGACGACGTCGATGACGATGGTGGAGGAGAGAGAGCGGGTCATAAAATCTGTGCTAGGGAAATGTTGGAATGGAACGGCATGGAGTATATATGGCTTGGCTGATTGTGGTCTCCCATGGAACCCATCAGAGGAGACAGGTTTATGTCTCGGAACTAGACATTTTATGTGTTTTGCATTTCCCCATTTTTTTTTCCGTCATTATCAGCCGGCGAACAGGCAACAATTTTTCCACCTTAAAGCGGATTCACATTGGAAGGAAATCTGATGCTGAATGAAAACTTTTTTTGTTTTTTTTTGTTTAGTATGTTTTATAATACTACATACATATATGTACATATATCTTTTTAATTTCCTCTTCATTCATAGACGGAACACAACAGACAGACACACATTTTGGGGCCAAACATTTTTCATTTCGTTTGGGTCAAATATTTTCATTTACTTTGGCGGCCGCTGCCATTAAAACCGCACGCTGCAAAACCGCATTTGGAAAACATTTTAAATACCTTTTTACATTTTTATCAGAGGAAGGAGCACAGAATGGACATTTTTCAGTTTGTTTTTTGTTTGTCCAGAGATTTATTTCATTCGGTTTTTCAATTTCCACCGAAATCTGAAATGAAAATGAAATGAAAGCCGCGTGCGTGTGATTCGGGGATTTAGGTTTTTCGCGGTACTCCTCGATATTAGATATTTTGAAATTTTGTTGCAGTTTTTGTTGTTATTAAATAATTTAAAATTCTAATTAAATTTTGTATTATTTCCCAACAGTTTTTTCCATTCGTTTGAGGGAAATTGATTCGCTTTGGGGGTTGATTGACTGCAAAGGGGTTTGGGCTGTGATTCTCGCTTGATTTAATGATTTTTCTCACAGTCTCGAAAGTAAATATTAAATATTTGCTTGTCGCCACCTGCGGCGCCAGCAAAGAAATGCCGGAACGTGCCACATTTCAATAAAACAATCAACTGTCAAAAACATATAAACACACAAGTGGCAGGGAGGGGCATGAACACGGGGCAACAATCGAATTGAGGGGACGGGTGCTGGCTTGTGTTCCCACTGAGATTCAAGCGGCGGCAGCGACGCGTTTTTGTCACTGGGAAACCCCGGAAAAGCCACGACGACCACCAAAGTTGATTTGCATGTCATTAACAGGGGAGGAATCCAAACAGACGAACCAAATCAAACGGAACTGCAGCTAAAAATAGAGAGAAAAAGAAGGCATGAACAGGGGCAGGGTATGGGGCAAGGGCACTGTGTGGCTTGGGTCTGCAACTGGGGTAGGGTTCTGCTGTGGCTGTGACTGTGTTTCTGTGGCAGAGGCAGGGGATCCTCTGTAAACAAAGCTGCACACTAAAAATATCACATGTCAGTGAGGAGGCACAGACACTAATTAGTGTGCGTCGTGGCAATGAATATTGTATATCCATCCAGCCCATAATGAGGTCTGATCTGAAGATATCGAAATATGAGGCATATCCAAGGAATTACATGAATTTCCCTGGGCTTTTCCCATGGATTCCCATACATATTTTCATATTTGTGCAACTGCATCTGTATCTGTGCTAGGCATTTATCGTACAAAATCAATCAAATACAATCAAAATTAATTTTCCATTTCCATAAATTTCTAGCTGTAAAAATCTTTCACTTTGTATGTTCTCTGTGTTAATCCATTTCATTGGGCATATATTTTGGCCCTAAAACTCTCATGGAAAATCCCTTAGATGGAAAACCTCTCTATCTGTCTCCCTCTAAACATTTTGCAGATTGCCACACAAAAACTTGTACAATTTGCAAGAGGCACCAAAACAACAAAACCAACTCGAGAGTGGCAATCTATCTGAGAAATAGAAATCAAAGGCACCCCCAAACCAACAGGTGCCACATAACGGACAGGTGTGCTTTTCTGTTTTTCCTCCCAGAATTTCGTTCCATGTGCATTTTGTTGTCATTTTTTGTTCATTCGTTTTCGTTTGCATGGGAAATGTGCAAACAAAACTGTGAATAACCAAAATGTGTGGAGAATGGCTGTGGGGGGGGCGCACGTATGTGGGGGGTTGCAAGTGTAACTAAGCTTTAATGGGGAGTCCTGGCAACACAGCCTCACTCCGATTCGATTGCAATCCTGCCACCAGCTGCAGCCTAGACAAGTTGTTGCGGTATCCAGCAGCAGCAGCAGCAGCATCAGAAGGGTCGGAGGCATTGTGCATGGAATGGAGTTGCTGCCGCAGCAGAAGAAGGGCAGTAGCAAGGGCGGCAGCATGGGCCAGGGACTTAAAGCAACAGCATGGGGCATGGCTTGAATGGCAGCAGGAGTTGCAGCAGACGGTAGACAGTTGGTGTAGGCATTGGGCTGAAGTTCAAATCCCAACCAAATTATTAATATGACTTTAGAACCCAAAGCGGCAGCCGCTTCTCCCTGTACTGCTGACTGCTTTCGGCCTCCTGCGGTTGCCAAGACACCCGACAGATGTATCTGCTGGATGCATTTCCAACAGCAGCAGAAGCAGCAGCTCCCAAAAGTCTTCGTGTGTCTTTGTCAGTCTTTTAGGGGGTACAAATTATGCTTAAGCTCTGCTGCACTCTGCTGCTGCTTTGCCTCTCTAAAAATTATCTTATAAAACCCGTGTGTGTGTGTGTGTGTGTGTATCTTTCAGATACAGGCACTAAATTTACAGGCACATTATTTAGTTGTTTGAGTCGGGCACAGGCACAGTGCGGCGGTTAGGTCTTCTGTTATCTGTTTGTGGTTAAGGGATTATATATACAGATATATATATATATATACATATAAGATCTTGAGACCTCTGCCACACACCCACAACAGTGCAAACGAAACCGCCTAAGCCTCAGACACTGCATCAGACTCTGCCCCTGCCTCTGACTCTGCCCATGCCACAGACTCTGTTCTGCCTCAGACTCCGTTGTGTGTGAACTTTGTGTTTGCTTTTGCCTTTCAGCTGCTCCTGCTGCTGCAGCTGGACTTTATTTTGCTGCTGCTTCTGCTGCTGCCAGGAGAGAGAGGTTAAAGAGATGCGAGGTCGTTTCTAGAACATTATCCACACCTTGTTTACGCATTTGTGCTGCGATTTTTTTTCTTCTTTCTCTCTGGTTTGCAGCCTCAACAAGTTTATCGCTGCTGCAACTCTCGCTGGCTCTCGCTCTTGCTCCTGTCTCTAATTTACATAACCACGCAAATTAGTTTTGCGTCTGCTGCAGTTTTTATCTGCTGCACAACTTTGTCACGACTGGAGGCCTCCTGCAGACTGTGGGTCCTGCCCCTGATACTCGCAGTAGTCGTATCCGCTTCTCGTATAACTCCTCGCAGTCCTCGACTTCCTCGTTTCACTCTAAATTTAGTTGCCAAAGTTATTTAAACTTTTTATACCCTAACAATGGGGGTATTACAAATTATGGACAATAGGTAGGCAGTGCAGAAAATACAGACAGGTGTAGGTTGGTATTTGCAAGGCTAAGAATGTCAAAGTTATTGAATTCTAACACTAAACACTCAAGTCTCACGAACAGCAACGACAAACAGCAAGATCTCGTTCCCTTCCCACTTGTTACACATCTTCCGCCGAACAGCTTACGCTCTCGTTCGCTTCTCGTCGCGATCTTATCATTTTGATTATCATAAGGGTATTCCCCCAATCGACTTGGTTTTTTAATATTTTTTTTTTGTTAAAATAAATTTCGTTTTTTTTTTTAACTATTTTTTTTATTCAACTATTTCTCTACATTATTTTTGCAATTTTCGTAAAAATGAATTTTGGAAAACTTTTTTTTTTTGGCCACAGTTTTTATGGAGGGTGCCTCCACCTGTGTGTTAGAGAATGGGTAGGTTAGGGGGGGGGTCTTGTCTCGTAGTTAAGACAACAATTCAGTTAACACTGAGGGAGGCGGGGGAAGTTTCCTCTTCTCTTTCTACTCTGTCGATTTCTCTACTTTCTCTAGCTACGTTTTTTCGGGAGAAAGTTTTTCACCGCACAGTGGTTACAAGTGCTTAAAACTGATCAAAAACGCTCAGGTGAAAAGCATTTAAAGTGCTTTAATAGTAAAAATATTAAGGGAAAAAGTGCAGCTAACAGTTGCCACGACGTTTAACAAAGAGAATGAGAGTGCCACAGTTTCACCTGCACCTCGAAATTCTTTTTTGTTTGGTTCCACTGTACTCTTGGCTGGTGTCCTGTTGCGGGCATTGTAGTTCCATTGTTTCTGCAAGTTTCTGTGGGTTTATTAAAGGCTTCCCTTCGTTATCGCTATCCTTTTGGAGCCCTTGTCTGGGATTCAGCAGCCGCTCAACAACTGATTGGCAGCCGCAGTCGAAAAGAAAGTTTATATTATTAATGTGAAAGTGGGTGGTGGGCGGTGGGTGTGCCTGCCCAATCTTCTGTGGGGCTTCGACTGTTTTCGACAGCCTGCTAATTGAATTTTTCCTCAAATTATAAACAAATAGATACAAAAACTGAGATATCCTTGTGACTGCTGGCTGCTTGCTGCTTGCTGCTGGGTGAGGGATACCGACAGGGACAGTTAATTTCTGGTCTCATTTGCGGTCAGGTGAGCGATCCCCAATGATGGCATGGGGGAAGGGAAGGGGTCGGCCTTTAAATTGAAATGTTTCCTGCAATTTTCGTCGTCGCCAGGAACCCCAGGAAATCAGGCTATGGAGGAAGTTCTATTTTTTATTTTGGTGTGGAACGTGCAACAGAAAATGTTGCAAATTGAAAGAAGAGTCAGACACCCACGCTGCCCACTCCACCCTCTACCCTCCTTTCTATGGGTGTCCCACAACTTTCTCCATATGCTTTTTAGTGTGTGTGTTTTTACTTTTTTTTTTTTGGCGGGGGCCTCTGCATTCTAAGCGATATTCTGCGATTTCTTATAGCAACTTTTTGCCTCGTTCTCTCCGAGACGAGTGTGTGTGAGTTTGCGGGTTGCCTTGTACTTAAAGTTGTCTATTTTTGCTAGTTTTCCTCCATGCTCCATGCCGCCATGGCTCCACTCTGCTGCTGCTGCTGATGTTGTTGCTGTTGCTCTTGTTAATGTTGTCTGACTGTTTTGTTTGTTTGGTTTGTGTGTCGCCCAAGAGCGTAGAGAGCTGCATTGCAAAAGAAAATGTTCGCACAGTTTTCCGCACAGTTGCATTTTCACTATGCTTGCCGCTTGGCGCGGCTCAGTTACTTGATACAGTTTTTGTGGCCCTAAACCCCACCCAGCCAACCTTTTTCAGAACTTCTCTCTAACCCTTGAGCGCTTGTTGTTTTTTTTTTTGTGTATGCCCTTTCAGAGGGTATTATGATTTGGCTTAGAGCTTCGGCTTCATCTTTGGCTTCGACTTGCAACAGAATTATGATATCTCTCTTCCCTTCTGCTGTCATTAATTCTGTTCATCAGAAAAGCAGGCCCAGCCCTGTCTGTTTTCCTCGTTACTCTTATTTTCAGTGGATTCACAAAAATTCTTTCTGCATTCTTTCTGCAGTAACTCTTTAAGTTAGAACCCGCAACGAATGCTATAAAAACAATCACTCGAAGCAAACTACTTTCACAATATCCTTTGACTATCCTTATATCCCTTTGTCAGCCAAACGATCTCTTAGAGTATCTAAAACTAAGGCTTACTTTATTTTTGTCCTGTCTGGTCGGTTGCGGGCCTTCATTTTTTAGCTGGCTGCAGTTTTCTTTTGATTTTTCTCGATTTTGCGCGATTTTTTTTTGTATTTACTTTTTTTTGTGTGTGCATGTGTGTCGCTTTTTGCTCGTTTTTGCTGGGAGTTTTACTTTCCATTCCTACACACATGCCTGCCCACCCTCTTCTGTCCGGCGTCTCTGGTGCTCATCCTTTTCTTCTCTCCTTTTGCTGCTCCTCCTCGTCTGCTTTTCTGCTGTTATGCTCATCAACTCAGTCGTGCGCTTTGTGCTCCCTGCTTTCTCCACTATTTTCTTCTATTTTAAATGCGATATCTGATTTTGTTGTTGCTGTTGTTGTTGTTGTTGCACTCTGACTCTCACATGCAACATTCAGAGGCAGCATTCAGAGGCAGCTTGCGAGAAGAGTTAAAAGTCGAGATTTTGAGATTTCTTTGGGGTACCCAGACCCCTGTCCCCTGTGTGCCCGTTGTGCCCATACGTGACACAGGTTGTTCAAGGGGAGTTGGGGGGCCAAAGGACATCAATTTTCAATGGGCAGCTCTTCCGCTTCAGACAGAGATGAACAGAGGGGAAAGGCAGAGCAGTGGGTGGCAGGAAAAGTGTGAGTGTGGGAGGGGGAGGGGAGAGACAGACACATTTGGCAAATGAATCTTTTCCCTTGCTGGATTGCTGGATAATTATGACAAATAACCTAAGTAAACGGCATAAGTAAGTAATGCGATAAGAATTTTCTGATAAGCTCCTTGACTCTGCTCCATTCCTGCCACTGCCACTGCCACACCGCTGCCTCACCACCCCCCAACCACCGCACTCTGGCAATTAGCACACAAACATGGAGCAGCATCTACTGCTGGCTCTTGGGCTCCATGAATCACATAAAAGCATCCTTGGAGCTAGAGATGCCCCCCATGCGCCCCATTCTCACAGCTGCAGACAAATATCAACAAACAAAAAAAAAAAGAAAGGGAACTGCCATTGAAACTGTGCTTACGGTTCTTCTCTCCTATATAGTAGCTATGCCACGCCCCCATAATCCGCAGCCAAAGCGCATTTGCCAGCGCCATTCATGCAACTAATTTGATTTTTTTCCAAGCGGGGCCCAGGAGTGGCGGGGAGGGGTTGGATTTGAAAAAAAAATATTTTCATTAGACATTTTGTAAATATGAGCAGCTTACTCTGGGGATTTTCAACTTAAAGGCAATGAGAAATCATTCCAAATAGAGAGGAAAGGCAAAGGACTCGCCTTACTTCAAATGGTTGCTCGATACAAAGGAGGCAGTGGAGGCAGAGGAGGAGGAGGAGGAGGAGGAGGAAGGACTAGCTGCAGCTGCTTTCAACGACAACTAGAATGATTCGACGCTTTTCCATGCTGCATGCTGCAAGCTGCAGCTGCAATAATATCATTCAATTATAAAAGAAATATAGAAGAAGTCTGTATGCTCTCCGGATTTTTTCTATCTGGGAATTAGTTAGGTTTTGTAGTGGAGGAGGAAAGTTTGCGCTGCGGATTGAGTTTTGTGGATTAAGAGAACGGCTTGAAGTTATGGGAAAAGAGTGAGAAATATTAAAAATTACGATCATTGGTTAATTTGTGGAGATTTATCCACAATCGTTTGAAATCTGACCACTAAATAATCAGTTAATAACCAATTAATAATTATAAATAATAATATAATGGACTTAAGAGCTCAAATACAATTTTTTTTTATTTTAAATTTAATTCCTGACAACTTGCTTTCCATAGCCAATAAACAAACACTACATATTCGAGTAATACCCTAACTTAATGCTCACCCTTCTTCACACTGTGCACCTCCTACCCTAACCATGATACAGAAATCTAATTTAAGTAAATGCTTTTCCACACATTTTCATTGCAGTGCTCGTTGCTTCAGCTCTAACGACTCCCGGGCGGCATTGTCTGTCGGTTGTGTTCCACAAAAAAGGTCCTGTGTGTGGGCTTTCAGGGTAAGTCTCTTTCTCGACTCTCTCCACTCTGTTGGCAAATAAAGATACATTTTTGATTACCCCCCCCCCCCAGCTGCAATTGTTCCACCCAAAAATCCACCCACCCCACCCATTCATGCACCACACCTTTCACTTTTAATTATCCAAAAGGGGAGTGGAACATCACCCACCACCCTCCACCCTCCAGCCTGCACCGACTACCAACGTTTTTCCTAGGCCGTTAACAGTTCATAATTAAATGAGAAATTTTCCTTCGGTAATATTTCGAGCGTAAATTTTCGAAAATTCGAAAGGCAATTTCTTGCCGCTTTCTTTTGCCGCTTCGTGTGTGTGGGAAATATTCACAGATTTTGCACGTGCCACAGCCACAGCCACAGCCAGAGCACTTGCAACTGCCCCATGGAGTCCTGGACTTCACTCCACTCGACTCTGACTCGTCTGAGACTCGTAAATATTCATTACATTGCCCTGCCGTATGTTCTGCGACTTGCCACTGGAAATATTTGCATAAAGTTGCCGAAAGTGAAATTTGTTTTATTTTTTTTTCTGGTGGTTGGGGTGTGGCTGGGTGTGCTGCATCTGTAATTAGGCCTCGAGCTGACCTTGGGGGTTGGGCTCTACGCTGGGAATGTGGCAGCTGTTTCGGCTTGCAAACTATCTGTCTGACTGGCAGGATGGTGGGTGGTGGTGGTGGCAGGAGGAATCCTTCAGCTCTTTAGCTCTTCAGCTGCTTTGAGGAAAATCTCATAAAAATGACAGCATTATGTGGACATGGACCTCTCATCAATGGATATTAAGCGTACATAATCCTTTTACATGCCTCGTTCCACATGCCTCATTCTGTGCCCGGGCAGGGCTGTATCTGTCCCGCCTCACTTCATTTGCCATGACGACACGATGGAGTGCTTCTCGCTCTGCCTGCACTTGTTGGAGCGCTTTTTGGAGCGCTTGTTGTCGCTCTTTGTGGCGCCTCCAACTGGAGGCCGGATCAGCTGCACACACACACACAAAGAGAGAGTAAGAGTGAGTGAGAGGGCACTCCTGTGTGTGCCTTTGTGTGGCAAAGGGAGGGGAGAGACCACTCATAACTTTGGCGCCGCCTTTGGTGACGCGAATGCGTTTAGAAAAACTTTCTACAACTTTAAGCCGCTTAGCAGCTTTGCACTCTCTCTCTCTCTCTCTCTTTCTCTTTGCCGCAGCAGCAACACCGTCAGTGCCTGAAAGGACCCTTCGACCTCTACCTCTGCGCCTGCCCCTGCCCCTGCCACACTGTGTGTGCCAAGGCGCTAACTGAGTTTCCCTCACTCCCATTGCCCCACTCTGCTGGTCAAACACTACTCTCGAGTAAATTTCTGACACTTTTCCACCCAAGAAGAGGCCTGAAACACTCTGCCATTCACTTTTATTGAATTGTGTGGCAAGTTTGAGACCCAGGGGGGAGACCCAGGGGGGAGCGGAAAAAGTGTGTGAAAATTCAATTATGTAAAGGCGTTCCCCATCATAACTCCACAACTATAATGTGTATGCCGCTTTTAGAGGCTGCAAGGCAAAGGCAATTAATGTGCGAATAATCGGATATATACAAACACAGGCACTGCCAAAAGTTTGCTGCCTCAAACGGGCAGAACAAAAGGCTTTAATAATCCATTGATCTGCACATATATATTTACGGAAAGTTGAGAACTAAATTGCCACCAACAAAAAAGTTGTTCAAGGAAGTCGCAAGCAACCAAGCAACAAACAGCCCCCCACACCCGTATCCCTGTTTGCCACCACACTGTGTGCCACAAGTGTGTGCCTAACAAACACACACACACACACACACACACGAAAACATTGGATGAGTATCTCGTTCTCCAAAACTGGAGGGACAGAGATCTACAGATGCCGCCGACACGCATTGTGTGAGGCGGGACGGGGTAACCTTTTTCCTGGGCAGCATTTGATTTATTGGCATCCCCCCAACGCCTTAAATATTTCTTAGGGGCGTGGAGTGGGTGGGTTGTTGCCTTTGACCAGTCAGGATTCGATTTGCGATTGAATTCAGGCAGCCACGATTCTGTACGGTTCGGTTGGCTATCCAAATCACGCTTATTGAATTTCCTTTCTTTGCTGTTTGCCCCTTTAATGGTCCTGAAACACACACACAGACAAACAGATACAAACCATTTATAGATGGAATGGGAATGTTTTTTGTGAGCTGTCAAAAGAATGATTTTAAATCATTTTTGGGACCACACTCCACCCCGAGATATGCCCAGCCGTGGTGGGTCATATATAATAATTTTGGTCCTGTCTTTAGGTCTGCCCCTGCCACCGGCCACCCGCTTGTGGACCAAAGGGTGGACGCTGCCTTCCCCCTCATTTTTCGCCCACTCTTCTAAGGCTAAGGGTGGCCTCTCTTTCTCTCTCTTTCTCTCTGATGTCCTGCTTCTTCTGGCAGATGTGTTTTATTAAGCATTTTCCGATAAGCAAGCTCCCAATGCATAGGCAGCGATTTGTATATATATTTTAAACCCTGCATCCAGAAATTTCCCTCTTAGGCTTTTCCTTTTCTTTGATGTGTGTGGGTTTTCTTGCCCCCTGCCCCTGGAAAATGTTTTCCATTTGGCTTAAGCCTAAGACATTCCTTTCTTTGGGCAGATTTGGGTCATCTTTCTGTTGTTTGCTGATGGAAAGCCCTGCTCGTGGGAGGTGCTTGTTTTGGAATTAAACGTGGTCTCAAAACGTAGTTGCAACAGGTGCAACATGGCACGCATCACGTAGGCTGCGTGCGTGTTTTATTTATGGCTCTCCTTCCGGTCACCCCTGCCCACCCCTTGATGCTATAGGCAAATGAGCGAACAGCCAACGAACCCGCCCGCCCCACGAGAGAGAGGGGCAACAGCCGCCCCAAAAAAGCCTCAAGAAAACTGATGTTGCACGCACACGACGTTGAAAAGTCATTAAGTACAAATGACGTTGCTGCGAAAAAGCCAAGAGAGAGCTGCAGTAGAGGGGAGGCAGACGCCACGAGGCTCAGGTTGGCAGCAGCTTCAGTACGGAGCGGAGCTCCGTAATTGCAGCACGTTTGAGCGCATCAGCAGCTAACTGCATATTGAGTAATGCCCGCGAGCAAACGACGCGCAGGACGAACAGGACGAGCAGGAGCAGAAGGAGCCAGGAGCCAGACGAGCAGCGGAGGTTTACCCATGGAGTGGGGGAATGGCTGCTCCAATGGGCTAAAGATGGGGCTCAGATTCGCAGAGGGGCCGAGCCGGCGGGATGCTATTCAGTTTGCATTATTTATGACAAAGTTGGCTCCAAATTAAGCCATGGAGAACAGGCAGTGGAGAACAGTGCCAATGGTGGGTGGGTAGGCTGCGCCAAAGGGATGGGGCAGCTGTTGCTTTGGAACTAGTTCCAGAGTGGTTCCAAGTGGAACAAATTAGCGGAGATTTTTTCATTTTTTTTAACTTAAATCTGGATGATAGTCAGAAATTGAAGCCCTTCCGTGTTCATCAGGATTCGATCTATTTAAGAACTTTCCCTATAAATATTCGCAAAGAATTTCCCGTGAAAATTCCATGCTTCAATCGTGAAATCCGCAGCCCTGGTCTCTGGAAATTGTAGTCCTGCGCCTATGGGGGCGGCATGCAACTGTAAGTAATGGAAGGGTTGTCGAGGGATTGTGGGGGAGTTGTAGGGATTTTAGGGGTGGGATATATCCATATGCCACACACCCCCCCACACACACACAAACACACACACAGTGAGGCACAGTCTCAGTGTCACTGAAGCTGCTGCTGCTGCTGTTGTGTACTCGCATTTTGCTTTTATTTACTTCGAATGTAATTTAATATTATACTATGGCAACGTGCCACACATCAACGCAAGCGGCGCGTCGTCGCAACGATGATGGGGCAACGATGACGATGATGTCGTTTCCTGCCTCCTGCTCCTGCAGGAGTGGGGGTGGACCCCACCCCCGTCGCTGTACATAAATAATCTGTTGCATGTTGCATGTGTGTAATGTGTAATGCCTGCATGAGTGGCTGTTGCCTCCATTTGCTTTTTGATAAGCCGCCGCTTAATTAATTTTAAATTTGTGCCAACAACAAGAGTGACGAATGGAAACTCTTTGACGCAAATTCCACACATTTTCCCCCATTGGTTTTCCGTCGGAGAGCTAAGTACTTTACTCCAGAAATCAATTAAGGTCCTGCATATATCAGGCTCTCTCTCTCTCTCGGTCTATCCTTTGGCTAAGAATGACGCCCCAGCGATAGACAGATCAGTGGACAAGGGTTTTCTACCCCAACCCCTTCAGAAAGGTCGATGACAGCTAGCCGAAACAGACGCAAAAAGGACAAATCAGCACGCGACATTTTTCGCGCCTTTTTAGGGGCAGAAGGAGCAGGAGAAAGCGGGGGCGCAGCCGGAGGGCTAATGAAGGACCCCAAATGAGAGAACAAAAGGCACGAAAGTCAACGAAACTGTAGCCAAAGTGTTAAAGTACGATAAAAAGATTAAAGTGCACAAACAAACAAACAGAAACCGAGAGAGAGAGAGAGAGACAGAGACAGACACACAGCCGAAGGCAAATTGAGATAAAACACACACACACAGACAGACAGACAAAGAGCGGCAGACACACATGGAGAAAAGTGAAGGGACTGAGTGAAAGGCTCAGAGAGAGAGAGTGAGAGAGAAAAGCCCATGCTCACAGCAGGAGCTGTGGCAATTGGTAATAGAAAATCGGATCAGATTAGATTTAATGCCGCGCGGCAATGGCTAATTTTTGGGTGATTTCTCATAGGAAAAACGACTCATAGGCTGCAGCAGCCCCTTTGAATCTTGGCGCCATGTAGCCAGAAAGAGAAAGAGGGGTAAAGAGGAAGAGGGAGAGGCAGAGCTGTCAGCGGCAATACGCCGGCAATGACAGCTAAACAAATGACACAAAATGCGGTGGAGATGTCAGTGGAGAGAACGAGGAAGACGGAAGGAGGATGGGAAAAAAGTACGGATGAGTAGCCAGATATGGGTGGGATACACCCACACACAAACACAAACATGAGATATATCTGAGAGAAGTAGCAGCAGCAGCAGCAGCAGCAGCAGCAGCAAACAGCAGAAAGAGCGAAACGCCGAGCGAGCGTCATCAACATTTCCGCTTCCGGCTGTTTATGCTAAAAGTATGGCGACGACAACGGCAACTGCTGCGATGGATGGGCCAAATAACCATCCCCCAACCCCCCCTCCGCCCACCACTTAGGACACCCAAACGGAACGGAATGGGGTGGGGTGTAGCTGGGTAGGAGGCTCAGCTACCCGCTGAGCTGTCAGACGCCTTGGCAGCCGCCGTTTTTTTTTTTCTTTCCCTTTCTGATGAGGAGGCATCTATCATGTCGCCGCCACTTTGTGGAAGGGCCCCACAGAATTTTTGGGCATTTGCTAACTATGGGAAAACTATCGATTAGAGGGGCCCAGCAGGCCATTGATGGAAGGAAGGATAACTGTGATTTAAGCAGCAAAATGGAACGCCAAATGAAGGGAAACTGTGTTGCAGAGGGTTCTTTGTGGATGGAAATTCATGGGAAGTGCCTAGGGAAGAGGGAAAAGCAGTGCTAATGGAGTTGATGCAAGCAGTGCTGGCAGAATTATGAAAGATACGAAAGATATAAGACCAAAAATCATACAATCTTCCTGCTTCAATCTACAAGCAACAGTCTTCAGCGATTAAGTATCTGCTGAAGGAGCTGCCACAATCGCAAAACCTCATACCCATTATTGGGCATTAAGTATTTAAAGTTCGTTGATTGAAACTGAAGTCCGGATGCACATGCTCGTAAATCAAGGAAGTACTTCAAAGATACAAATGTATCTTTTGTTAACCTCAGTGTTGAGAACCTTTGCTCCTGTTGAGAGACAGCTTCCTAAACAGCAAAGGACATGTCCAGCAGGCGCTCTCCCAGCTATCAATCACACTTGAATGTACATCGAGAGTGAAAGAAGGAAAGATATATATATACATAATAAATATATATAGAAGAAAGAGACGTAGAGAGATAGAGAGAGAGAGATGTAAGACAGAGATTTAGTTATAATTATGCGCTGTTTTCTGTGCCATGTTTTAGTCCCCCGTTGTTGCCATGGAAGGAGCTCTCGGGGGGTTCTTCTTCTTCTTAGTTTCATTTACATGATGATGACATCGCAGTCATCGCGGGCGTATAAATAATTACACACAAGCACCGCTGATTTTGATATTTAATTTTTATGTGTTTTTACCAAATAGGTTTTTTTTTTTGGTAAAAGGGGGGGGTGTTAAACAGAAGAGAAAGGTTTCCCCCCCCATTTTTTTTTTTTCCCCCCCCCCCCCCCCCCCCCCCGGCCCCCCCCCCCCCCCCCCCCCCCCCCCTCCCTCCCCTCCCTTTTTTTGGGCGCCCCCCCCCCCCCCCCAAACCCGCGCCCCCCCCCCTTTTTTTCCCCCCCCCCTCCCCCCCCCCCCCTTTCCCCCCCCCCCCCCCCCCCCCCCCCCCCCCCCCCCCCCCCCCCCCCCCGGGAACCAACCCCCCCCCCCCCCCCCCCCCCCCCCCCCCCCCCCCCCCCCCCCCCCCCCCTTTTTTTTTTCCAAAAAAAATTTTTTTTTTTCCTTCCCCCCCCCCCCCCCCCCCCCCCCCCCCCCCCCCCCCCCCCCCCCCCCCCCCCCCCCCCCCCCCCCCCCCCCCCCCGCCCCCCGCCCCCCCCCCCCCGGGGGGGGCCTTTCTTTTTTTTTTTTTTTTTTTTTTTTTTTTTTTTTTTTTTTTTTTTTTTTTTTGTGGGGGGCCCCCTTCTTCTTTTTTTTCGCTTCTGGCAAATTAAAAAAAAAATGGTGAATCGGCGGCTGCCTTTTGAGAGCTCTCTGTTTACTTTTGATATTTTACATATTTATGAGCCATGAGCACCGGCCAAAATTCAGTGGAAACGAAACGAAGCGACTGGCCTCCCTCCCAGGGGGCAGCATTTCTGTACAGAGGAGATGTTGAAGTTGAGCCTCAGGGAACTAATTGAAAACTAAAACGTCAATGGCAATCTCATCATTCAGCCAACCAGCAACCATTCTATTCGACCAGACATGCCACTCACATGTCACGAGGCTTATGAAATCTCCGCTATAAATATGCAGTGGCAGTGTCTGGGAAGGGGGCCAGAGGGCAGGCGGCAGGCGGCAGGACACACACAGAGAACTTGCAAGTTGCCATAAAACGGCTTTTCATTTGTGGAGGGTATTGCCTCGGGCTTTGGCTTTTTCGTTGCTTCATGCCACATCCGCGTTTGATCCTAATGTGCTGCTGTCAGTGCCTGTCGACGTCAGACTCTGGCGTCGGCGGACTCTAGCCGGCTATTTCGGGGATTAATGTCGAATGTGAAAGGATTTTGTGCCATGCATTCAACGAGCCCTCTCCCTTTGCCATTCCCTCCCCCAGTAGCCTGTGCTGAAAACGTTAACCAAATCCCTACAGAAAGCAGCTCCCAAAACGGAGAACACTTCACACTTGAGATCGAAATAAATAGGGCGCACAGCAGCAGCAGCAGACAGCAGACAGCAGACAGCAATATGGCGAAGAAGGAGGAGCCGATTATGGATGGGCCCAAGCGGATGCAGAAGGAGCTCAAACTCATGATCGAGGATACACAGCTGCTGCAGTTTCGCTGCTTGGAGGTCGAACCGGACAACATCTTCAAGTGGTACGGCCTGCTGATGCCCGTCAGTCCGCCCTACGACAAGGGGGCCTACAAGCTGGAGATTGACTTCCCACAGCAGTATCCGTTTAAGCCGCCCCGGCTCCACATCAACACGAAGATCTACCATCCGAATGTGAATGAGCGCGGACAGGTGTGTCTGCCCATACTTGAGATCGAGCACTGGCTGCCCACCTCCCGCATCGAGTCGGTGCTAAACTGCCTCCTGGCCACCATCAACGATCCCCAGCCGGACAATGCCTGGAGCATGGACATGGCCAACGAGTATCGCAACGATCCGAAGAAATATTACAAGATCGCTGATGCCTGGGTGGACAGATACAGCGAGCATCGCCCCACCGATGCCGAGCTCGTGGCATTTGCCCGCAAACGGAAGAAAGCAATGCAGAAAAGTTAGTGGGTGAAATTAGTTGGGGAAAATAGTTCAAAATTCATGTGGGTCTGTAGTTGGTCGAAATAATATAAAGGAAATTCTTAAGCACAAAATTTAGAGCTTAAAGTTATCGATAAAATATCGAATTATCAATTATACATGAAGAAAAGTAAGTTTTTCTCTAATCTGCGATCTATTCCCAGTGGCTGCTCTCCCAGAACTTATCGCTCAACCAACAATCGATGACGTACTATCGGCTTTAAGCAAAATTTATCGATTCATGGCAATCGTTTGGACAGATTAGTGAAACTGCTTGCTGAAGTTTAGTATTCTCCTTCTTTCCCCCATTCCCAGCAAAGTCCACCATCTAATTGGAATTCTCGCCTGTACAGTAAGCCCCCAAGCAGGAAGAACACTTCTGTTCCAGCCCGCTGTGAGATAAATCATTTGGCTACGAAAAGCAGGACTGCCACTGCCCCACGGAGTAGCAGCTGCCCCACGCGGTGTTTGTGTGGCGGCACAGCGAGCGGGCCACACTAGAGATGGAGGCGGGCGTCGTCATTGTCAGTGGCATATCATCATCATTCGCCTCATCATACGCATACGCATCCGCATCCGCAATCGCTATTCGTATTTGGGGCTACGCAGCCAGCATCCACATCATCCCACATCATAGTTTTCTAGCAGTGTGTGTGTGGGGGGAATCGCGCGATGAAAATCTCTTCTGCTGGTCCCGGGGTCATATAAATTTCGGCAATGAATGAATCAACTTTACGAACATCGAGAGAGAGGACACATGTGTGACTGCTTTACGGTCCTGTCCCCTGCTTTGGCCTCATCCTCCTTGGTCTTCGCCCCCTCTTCATTTCTTGAGTGTTTCTCCTGCTATGAGTGTGACTGTCTGTGTGTGTGTTTATCTGTGTGCATTTTATGTGCTCATGTGTGTGTTTTGGGCAGTTCACTTGATATGCTCACTGCCCTGCCTGTGTCCCCCCCAGTGTCCCTCAGCTGTTTGGAGCAACTTGGACTTGTCAATGGCAGGAGACGGAAATGGGAAAATGGGGAGTGGGGAGTGATGAGAATGGCAGTGTGGGATGCTGGGACTATAAGCTGCCACTATAATTACAGCAGAGGCCAAAGGCACGGAGATACTCGTATCAAAGCCAGGGCTAAAGATATTTGTATCTAGTTTCTTTACTGCCGGATTTAGTGCCCAGAGAGAGTGAGAGAAGAGAGCAGGGTGGAGCAGGGACTGTGGATGGATAGATAACTGGTGTCCAAGAGCAACCATTGTGAAGATGGATTACCATGGAGGCAGCGTCGACAGTTTTTTTCTTTTTGGTTTCCATGTGTATATGGGATGGATGGTGTGTGTGTGGCATGTGGCGTGTGGCTGCTGGTGTGGGGGTGTGCGTGGGGCGTGCGTGTGTCTTGTTAAAACTGCCAACTGATTATTATCACCTTCCGAGAGGACTGACTGCCAGACCAGACCCAGTCATTGACACCAATTGCGGCGGGGTGGCGGCTTGGCTCTACTTTCTGTCCTGCTGCTCTGCTGGCTGCCTGAATCTGTGCTCTTCACTCGCCTGCTCCTGCTCCTGCTCCTGCTCCTGTGCTGGTTCTCGGCTCCGTCACGCCCAGCGCCCTATAGTGGCTGTCATTGGCAGAAGTCGTTTGCTCTTTGCTTTCTTTCTTTCTCTTTTGCTTTCTCTGCTTTTGATTCTGATTCTGCTTTAACGCACTTCATCTTCTTGTTCCTCTCGTTTCTGTTTCTGTTTCTGTTGCTTCTTCTGCTTCTTGTACTGCGGCAATGAATCGCAGTTTTTGATTAGCTACAGCCACAGTCCTGACAGCCAACTGAGGTGGGGTGGCAACCCTGGCAACCATTTCTTTGCTTTTCATTTCATTTTTATTTTCTTATTCTTTTTTGGCATATTTCATTCGCGCTTAATTACAGTTGTGTTTTGTGTTTGCGTTTGCCTGTTGGAAATTAGTTTTTCACATTTTCGGAGATTAGATATTTGCTGAAATTACTGGGAACATTTTTAGCAGAATTTAAAACTTAAGGTTTAAGTTTATGTGGATTGATAATAATAATAAAAATATTTAGGGCCACCTAGGAAAATATAACCAATTTTAAAGAATTTATGCATCTGATGAATAATCCTTTGGGTAACAATTTTTAATAATAATTTAATTTGGAAAATATTAAAGAATATTTGAAATTTTTCGTAGACTATTTTGTAGATAATTTTATTGAAATTTACAAACGTTTTACAGGAAGAATTTTCAGGAATTTAAAATATTTTACAGGGAGAAATCACACCGAAATTAAGAGAAATCATTCAGTGGGAAATTTCACTAAAATTAATACTTTAAATTGTTTAAATTTTGTATAGTTTCAATAGAATAATTCAAAAAGTAATCCCATCAAAATAAATTCATGAAAATTCGTTTAATTTTTGATTCAAATTAAATTAAATCGAAAATTTGATTTCCATACCAAAATGTATGCAATAATGCAGTAAAAATTGTCGATCGATTTTTGCAATTATTACGATGGTACGACGCGGGGATAGGGGGCTGTTCGAACAATTTACGACCTACGACCCATAAAATATGCAGCTTATAAATTGCATAATTTATACACGCACACACTCACACACATATAGCGATACAGATGGACAAACAAAGTCAGATTGAGATACGAGGCATAGTTAATTCTGGGTTTTTGGGGATCGTTTGTGGTGGGCAGGGGGCGGTGTATGTATGCCAGAAGTGGCTTACAGTACAAGTAAATAAATTGTGTGCCGCAGGCACAGATGCAGATGCCAGATACAAGATACAAGCAGGCAGAAAGAGAGAGTGCTTAAGAGAGAGAGAGAATGTTGTTGCTGTTTCTGTTTTATTCTGTTGTCTGCCGTGTGCAGTGCTTGTAAAACCAATAAAATCAATTAAAAGGCACTCAACATGCAAACAATTATATGCAAATTTATTTATACACGAATACACGAACACATTTTCCGGTGGGTGTGTGTACAGTGTACACCCAAGCTAGAGACACACGCAGAGTAGAGAAAAACCAGAGAAAAGCATAGAAAACCAGGGAAAACAGGCAAGAAGTTCACATTCTTTGGTCGTATTGGTCGAAGCTTTGGATACCCTTGTAGATCAGTTGTTTCTATGGTAGCTATGCAATAAAAACAACCGATAGCATTAAAGAGTTTTGAGTTTGGATGGAGTATCTTTACAAAATAAAAAGTGTACAAAGATGTGATCTGATTACAGCTACATATTACAGCAAGGCAAGTGACCTTCAACCAGATGGGTTGTAATTGGAGGGACTTATTTCTCATAGAAGTATGTAGATAAAAATATACACTTATAGGATCATAAGTACCTCAGTTCTTCGTTTGTATCAAACATCTAATGAAACCCCTAAAGCTCCCTTTGCAAAGGGTATCAAAGCAGAGCAGAGTCAAAGCAGAATCAAAGTCAGCGTCAAAGCTGTGTACCGAAGTCAAAGTCAAAGCTAGCATAAAACGGTTTTTGTATTTGCATATGCAAGAAACAAGCAAACAGAAAAAAGAACAAGAAACAAAAACAACAACCAGCGACAAGAAAAATCCTGGAAATAAACAACAAACGAGCCGGGGAAAAGGCACAACAAAAAGGGAAATAAAAATAGGCAAAATGGCAGGGACAGGGACAGAGAGTAGTAGCGGCAGAGGCAGCGGCAGCAGCAGAAGCAGCGAAATGAACCTGTTGCGCATACCACAACAAAATCGCATGAAATAAACAGCAACAATCACAGAACAGAAGAAAAGAGAAGAGATTGGTGAGTAAAGAAGAGAACGGGACGGGATAGAAACAGGTCTGAACAGGATAGGACATGCACAATTTATGCCCAAAAGCAGAGCAGGAAACGCTTTAAAAGCAACGGTAAGTGGTAAATGGAACAACAGGCAAGGAAACAAGTTGAAATGAAACGGCAACCATGGACCTGGGACACGAAGAGCAGGTCTCCAGACCAACAAGTAAAACCGAAGAGAGAAGCTAGGTAAATTGAAAGCAAAGTTGAAAGCAAGAGCAGGGACCAACAAGTGCAGTAAAGAGAGCGGATTGAAACCAAAGGCTGAAAGGTTGAAAGTAAATGGAACCATAAATTGGAACATTCATTTAATTTAAGAGAGAGCAATTGAAATCAAAGTTGAAACAAAAATCCAAATGAAGCGCAGCCAAAGAGAGAGTCGCCACACAGCTGCGCCTGCTCCGAACGAAACTAGACCAAGCGGCAGCCGGAAACTGAAAGCGAAACGAGCCGAGCACACAAGCACACAAACACCCCGATTGATTGACGAAGAGAGCGTGTGTGCTAAGAGAGCCGAATGAACAGAACGAATGGGTAATGAAACAGTTGATAGCTCAATTGTCTGTGGGGGTGGTGAGAGGTGGGTGAGAGCAGCGGGATTTCGCCTCGTTAGCAGAGAGGAGCGCCTTGCCTTTCGTTCGAGTTTCGTTTTCCATTCGTTTCTCGACGCTACCACCCGCTACTGCACGGCCCCTGCTGGTGCTGGTGCTGGTGTTCGTGCTCTGCCTTTGCCTCTGCCGTGCCACAGTTATCAGTCGTCGCGTGTGCGTGGCCATCATTAGTCTTCATTCTACTTTCGACGGTCTTTGTGTCAACAACGTGTTGCACGCTCTGCCACGCTCCCGCATTACCGCTATACGTTCAATCGCGCGTCGCCTCCCAAAAGGTGGGTCGTTTATCAAAGGACACCAAGCAGTGCTACGTGTCGCGTGTGTGTCTGTGTGTCGTGCAACAAGTCGCAACTTTAAATTAAATTGCAACAATTTATATCAAACAAATATCACAAAAGTGTGCTACAGTGTGTGTGTGGTGTGGTGTGTGTCACAGTGAAAGAGTGCCCACATTTTGAGCCAAGCAGCCAGCCAGCCCCCAAGTAAGTTTCGTGCAAAACTCAAACAGAAATGAAAGCTTTAGATGCGAGTATTTTTCTGTGCAGCATACTTTCTGCGGCACTTCCTCAAATGTTTTTTTTTTTGGGTCAATGAATGCTCAAACACTGGGGAAATGCTCAAAGAACTCAAAGAAAACTCCTGGGAATAAATGTAGGAAAATGTACGGGGAATAATAAATAAAAGAAAACTAAAAAAAAAATGT